GCGGAGCGGGTGTACGGCGGTCACGTGGGGGAATAAAGCGCCGTTGGAAAGGGGCAGAGGGTGATCCCTGAAGGGGGCGGGGCCTGGGGTCACGCCCACGCGGCGGCCCCATTGGCTTTCGCGCGGTCCAATGGTCGAACGCCGCGGCCGGTTTACCTGTCTGGGCAGGGCGCGTGTTCGCTGGTTGCGGTAGCGCCCCCTGGCGGACGGGAGGAGCTCGGGCAGCGCCCCTCCTCCCCCCAGCCCCGTCGCAGTCCGAACTGGGCCGAATCCCAGTTCAGCCCAGTCTGGGCCCCAGCCCAACCCAGTCCCAGTCCCAGTGAGGCCCAGGCCCCCACTTGGTCCCGTCCCAGTCCTATCCCAATCCCTCCCTGCCTTGCCCCAGTCTCTCTCAGGTCTATCCCAGTCTGTCCCAGTCCCTCCCCATCTCATCCCAGTCTCTCCCGGTTCCTCACACTCGCTCCCAATACTTCCCCATCTCGTCCCAGTCTCTTCCACTCCCTCCTAGTCCCATCCCAGTCCCTCACATTCCCTCTGTTTTGTCCCAGTCCCTCACACTCTCTCCCACTCCCTCCCCATCTCGTCCCAGTCCCATCCCAGTCTCTCCCAGTCCTGCGCACCAAGGTTTAAAGCACTTTAATCACAAAAATAGAGCTCTGTGCGGTGGCACCTATAAAAATGGGGTCGGGGGGGGTCGGGGGTCCGGGGCGGGCGCCCCGCGCCCGGGTCAGGAGCAGGTGGGGGGGGCCCCCGGACGGGGGGTGCAGACGGGAGCCCCCCCAAAGAAGGCGGGTTCGGTGAGGGGGTGCAGGAGGAGGAGGAAGAGCAGGACCCCCAGCAGGTAACAGGGGAGCAAGGCCCGACGTCGGGGGTGTTCCAGCGCCGCCCCCACCGCCGGGAACCCCATCGAGTTGCAGAAGGAGTGACACAGCACCGGGCCCGCCAGGTGGCCTGTGGGACGGATGGACAGACAGACAGAGGGTGGGCGGATGGAGGGGCTGAGCC